AAACAATAAATAAATAATATACATAGCTAATTAAGACAATTAATTAAAAAAATATTTAAATAATAAATTAAAATAAATATTAATTTTTATTTAAATTAGTGATTGAATAAAGTAATTAAATATTAAATAAACAATATACATAACCAATACTACCTTTTACTTTCAAAAAATGGTTAGAAAATATATTAGTTCAAATTCCGAGTAAGTCGAAACCCTATCAATCTTTCACATCTAAACATTATTCTCGAGATAATTGTTACTCACCGTGATCTCACTATTACACACAAAATTTGTTCACAGGATCGTAATCAGATAGAGACATGAATTTGGTGGGAGTTCACATGCTGAATTGAGTACACTCTTCTAATTTGCTCATAGGATCGTAATAAGATATGATCATAATTACTTTATTTAATTATTTATTTTAAAGACTTACTGAAATCAAAAATTAATATTTAATTTAATTTCTTCTTTAAATATTTTATTGATTATTTTGTTTATTTAATTAATTATTTAGTCACAGTTGTATTCAAAGATTGATTGACATTGACTAGCTTTCGAAGCCAAAATAATAAAGAATCAATAATCTGGGCGAAAAATTGCACGTCCTTCAACGGATAGAAGGACCATAGGAATGATCGACGGAGTATGACTATATGTTCTTCATCGAGTTCTTCCAATACTGATACGACGTAACTTTTTCCAAAATGAGCTCTCATGATATTGTCTAGGTGGTACTCCATTCTGCAAAAATAATACACGTTAAAAACATCTATAAGAAATTATCAACATGTATTATATTTTAAAATATAACAAATCAAATTATATGCTAATACGTAAGAAATAAAATCATTTCCTCACACATTAAAAAGAGTAAATAAAAATTAAATAATACATAAATTGCATTAAATTAATGAAAAATAAATTAAATTCAAGAAAAAAAAAATACATACATGAATGAGCAAAAAAATTAAAAGAAGAAAAAATTGAAAAATAAATTATGGGAAACGAATTAGATTAGAATTTTTTTTAAATTATTATATTCAAATTTTGTTCTCTAAATAAAAAAAAAAAAAATCGGTGCCGGCCCCCTCGGATAGGGACGGTCCGGGTCCGATACGGACTACACGAGTCCGGATCCATACTGCCTGGAAGACTTTTCCGATTTCATTTTTATTTATTTTTCTGAATATTTTAAGAAGAAATTAAGTTAAATATTAATTTTTTTTATTGAAGTTTTGTGAATATTTTAAGAAGTAATTAAATTAAATATTAATTTTTTTTATTGAAGTAAGTGTTTTAAAAAAATAATTAAATAAAGTAGTTAAATATTAAGAAATGAAAAGTGTTTGATTTTTTTATTTGTAACTTAAGGGTATATTTGTCTTTTAAAACAAAATTATGCTATTGAAATTTTATAAACAACTTAAGGTTATTTTTGTCTTTTAACCTAGAAAAGGTTATTGTGAAGATTGGCAAAAAAATTGAATTAAAGTGGTAAAGTGGCCATTTGACTTGACCATTCTTAAAAGTACCCCCACACAAACAAGGGGTGGGTGATTTTTTTTTTTAAATAATCACCGACCCACTCAACTCTCCATCAATGCTGGCCTACACATCCAGTATTAGTGATTTAGCCCCCATTTGGTTCTCATTAGATTATATTTCATTACATTCTATTTTTTTCCCTTCTATTTTCAACTACAAATCTTTCATAAGATAATAATAATACACATAAATCGAAAAGTTTTCTTTCTTTTTCAATCATTCATTAAAAAAAAAACATTATTTCGCCCATTTTCATTATTGAAGAAAAAAATAAGGGTATGTTTGGGAGCGATTTTTTCTCCCAAAAAATTGATTTTTTGACCGTTATTTCACTATTCTAATCGTCATATTTGACTTCTTCTCTCATAGATAAATCTCACTTTTCTCCTAACGGTCAAAAAATTAATTCTCAAAATTACTTCCAAACAGACTCTAAGTGGTGGATAACTAAATAATACTTTGAATCTCGAATTGTATGAATAAAAATTAGCTTGAACGTTTATAAACTTTTAAGTCATTTTTCATCCAAATATTTCAAGAGATTCATAAGTACAATTCACATATCTACAATCAGTGGTGAAGTTGAACATTTTTCGCTATGAGGTCAACAACAAATTATTTTTTTCTCAAACTTCTTTTTCTCTTAAACACTTGTTTCACCAATTTTCTACTATTTGCTCAAAAATGAAAAATTTTGTTTAAAATATTTGTTCATAATTATTTGACATGAAATTCAACAAATGAATGAAAATACAATTGATTTCAATAGGCAAATGACAAAATTTAAATGTTTCATTAAATCACAAGAGTAAACAATGAATTTCAACAAAATAAAAATCCAATCTTGAATTTTAGTATTCTATAAAATCTAAAAGCACCAAGTTAAGATAAGTCATTGTTTAGTTTAGAAGTGAGATTGGTCTAGTAGCTTGATATTGACGCAATTTACTGAGGAAAAAGGAAATTATTTGGTAAATATGGCATACATAGATCTTGGGGAAAAATAGAATTCGACGACTAAGAAAAGTTGGAATGTTGATGGAAAATATGTACTTAGTGGGGGGTGTGCATAATTTTTTTTTCCCCAAAAATTGACAACCGACCCATAAACCAATTTAACCTAGGCAAATTGGTATAGCTTTCGTAAGGTTGACATCCATCCCATCTTTCTTCTTGCATTACTTGGTCTATTATGCCCTTATTTTACAATCATTATTTGAAAACTCTTTTTTCTATATACTTATTTTCAATCACACACATTCACAAAATAAAATATTTTATACTTAAATTCAAAATTTTCCTACTTTTTAACTATACATCTCCTAAAACTTACTATTCAAAACATTGTTTTATTAGGATAATTGGTCAAATTCATCGTTGGACCATTCTCCCTAATTACATATTTTTAAATTGCCTATTGGTAAACATTGATGGATTTACTAGGGTCAATTAATCACACATAACGACGTGTCAATACGTCAATATTCACCACTCATTTTTATTTATTTATAATTAAATCATTTATAAATAATTTTCAAATATGCTTTCATTTCTATTACTTCTCATACACAAGGGACATATCGTTTCTCTAGTTGGGATTTCATCACATAAATACCTAGGTATATACACTGAAGGGATAGCATTGCATATAAATGATTTATCATTCACAATAAATGATGACTAAAAAAATTCTAATACTTGTTATGAAATTAAAAGAACGAGAAAAAATATAGGAGAAGAAAATAGGGAATAAATAGCAGTGTTCTAAAACACACACTTAGACAACATCTAGGTGCGAGGTGCAAATAAAATGCTTCACCTTGTCAATAAGCGCGAATTAAGTGATCAACTGTTAAGTTGACCTCCTAATGCGCGCTACGTATGCTTTATTTATTTATTTTTTCCTTTTGGATAACTTTTTATTTGACTTTAATTTATTAATTTTTTTAAAATTTTTAAAAGAATTTTATTTGACTTTAGTTTCAAATTTTTAAACGACTTTATCTGTATAAAAGTCAAAAATGATTTTATCCGAAAAATATTTTGATAAGATTTAGCCCTTGTTTGGGCTCTATTTTTTTTAATCAAAATACATTATTAACAGTTATTTGACCTCTTTTCAACAACACATTCTTTAATAAAATAATATTACACGTATACTCAAAACTTTTTTATTTTATTTTTTAACCACTCAACTTTCACCATAACATTATTACAAAATGCATTCTTTTTTTGAAAAGAATGGAGCTCAAGCAACCCTTTAAACTACAGTACTATTTATATTATATAATTATGATTTTGAGACATAAGTATTGTTGCAAACTTCGAAAATATGTACGAAGTTTCTCTAAATATTTTAAGTAGAACTTGCCTAATATTAAAAACTTGAAACTATGAAAATTAGTCTAGTCTTTACATTTCGAGAACTTAAAAATTATACAATTAACTAGTTATATGAATTATTAAGTAAATATAGTATTTTATAATTTTAGATGTTTGGTGTGTATTATTTTAATTATTAAATAATTTTTAAAATGATTAAGTACTTAAAATAATAATAAAAATAAGTAACTTTTTTACGCCTAGGCTTGTAAAACTAGAAATTTGACCTTCATGTGTAGCCACACTTTATACTTTCTAGAACATTGATAAATAGACTTGTGTATTTTATTATAACGACAAACTCATATTTATTGGGTTTAAATGAAAGTTACAATTTGAATATAATATACTCTTTGAAAATACATAAGACTTATTTAAATATCCTAATAGCACTAAATAATCATCATATAATTTTATAAAACTCATCATTTGATGATTATTGTAAATATTTACCTTGTTAAAACCTTACTCAATAAAAACCCAACGAAAAAATATTACAAAGGGGAAAAATACATATAATTATTAAAATTTTGAATTATTAACAAAATGACATCTCAATACTAAAAACTTACGAGGAAAATATTGGGACAAAGCTTAGATGAAAGAGAAAGAGTACATCCATTCTCCTTACACTACAAAAAATAACCGATTTCGTGACAAAAAAATATTGTCGTAAAAATTGAGATTTTGTTGCAAAAGTAATTTAGCAACAACAAGATGCTTGTTGCGGGCATTGTCGCGCTATATGAGTCACAGAATATATTCTGCGACAACTTTCAGTCGTTCATCGCATTAATAAACTCACAACATAATTTATTTGACGCGGAAAGTACGAAATAGCAACACAATTTTTGTCACCATAATGTCGTCACAACTCATATTTGTCGCTAAAAATTCGAAGGGTGACAAGTCAATTTGTTGCAACAATTATACCAATAAAGTTTTTGAAAGAAAAATATCTATTGCGAATATTATTTTAAAGGTATAACTTTTGTTACCGATTCTATTTTGCAACAACACATGCTCATAGCGATACATATTTAATAACAAGTCATATTTGTAGCGAAATATGATTTACAATGCATTTGATATATTGCATAATTTATTTTAAGATATTCAAAATTTAAAATACAATTTATCATATAACAAGTGATGTTTGTAATTAAATTTATTTCGCAACACACAAAATTTGTCGCATCATCATTTGTGAGAAATTATGATTTTTGTCATATGCTTCCCCCTCTCGAGTTTGGTCAGCTTCAGATGACTTAGTAGCACATAAATCTTCTAACATATCATCATCATCTCATCATCATTTTTTGCTTCATCCAATTTAGATGTATTTCTTTCAACATCCTCCGTATCATTCTCAAGTTCCACCCCATGAAAAATCCATCTCTCATAACTTGCAGAGACTTCGGGATGATATAAATGAGATTCTACCATAGAGACTAAGAGTGCATTTTGATAATTTCGACATGGACACTGAACCTCGTTGTTTTCATCCAGACATTGTTTTTCTGCCTCCTGAATTAACACCATCTAAATATTGATCACTTAATATGTTACAAAGTTGCATCCAACTCCTATCCAGCATGTATATCTCTGTATTCACATAGACCATACAAAAGAGAATATGTAGTTAGTAATTTTTAGTGAAAACAAAAACAATGTTAACCAAAAAAAAAAAAAAAAAAAAAAAAAAAAAAAAAAAGAAGCTACTGGAATGGATATTCTAAAAGTTAGATTCTTTAGAACACTTCCAATTTGGTGCAATAATTAACTCATGAAACAAATTCCAATAGTCAACCTAAATACAACAGAGAATTTAACAAATGAGGATCTTGTGATGAAGCTGAAAGCAACAAGGGTGGAAATAGTTGGTTCTCATGAAACTAGCCCCCAACAAAATACATCTGCATTATTTACTATAATAGGTCAGTTCTAGAATACATATTTTCCCGTATACAAATTTACTATACATATTTTTTCCGTAGAATAAGTACTTCCCTTGTACAAGTAACAATTAATAACTCAAATAGGAAAACTGCTTGCAATTTGTAGGACTAATAAACTCATGGACAGCAGAATTCAATCTTGTTCTAGGAAGATTATATAAAGTTAATGAAAAAAATAAACTTGTAAAGTTCAAATGGGCTCCCATTTGAGATGACCACCTTCTGCAAACTATATATTCTATGAGTGCAAGAAATTGGTGGAAAATCATATCATAATTCAACATAAATTGTAAGTCTAGAAGTGTAAGAATATGCTCAAAATGTATCAATTTGAAGAAGATTGACATTTTAGTGCATATTTCCTTCACCATTGTATTCATGTCAAGTATAACAAGATCAGACTACGATGAGATATAGATAAACTAGTTTTTCTAGGTCCAAATTTTCTTTTCCCTGCAGTTAACAACATCCATGAAGAGTGATGACACATCCTTAAAAAAAAAAACCACCCATTAACCATAAATAATTATGAAAAACATCAATAATGGGAAGGCAGCCTCTGAACTTCGAACTGTAAAACAAGAACTGTGGTATCACTTATTTTAAGTAATCTAATAAGCCATTGTTAAACTCTGTCTCTGTGCAACATAGAAATTGGCGTATAAGTCACAAAAACAATTGGTTTAACAGATCATATATCTATAATCTAACCTAGGATAGAGTATTATAGAAATAAGATGATGAGAGAAGGGAACAAAAGTAATCGTTCAGGGACTTAAACCCAATATTAACACCCTTCTTGTATATCAAAACGAAAGAAATTCATAAGCACATTTGTGCATTGCTTAACCATCAAATAAACAAGAAAAATGTATGATTAAACATACACATATCAAACCCAAATAAAGAAGAAACCAAAATTGTAAATCTAATTTTCTCCTCAACAGATTAGAAGGGGAAAAAATGCAAATCGACCTACTAAAATTTCTCAGATAAGCAGTAAGTAGAAAACGCTTTGGATGCGGTTGACGGCAATGGAGGCGTGAGAAGAGTGGTGATGGCCTATTGGATTGTGCCGCCAATTGATATGGATTTGGGGATTTTTACTTGGAAGAAACCCTTGCGAAATTTGGTTGGGAATAAAACAATGTTTAATCGTGGGTGTTTTTATTAGGTTGAAGGGTAAAATAGAAAATTAAAAAACAAAACAATTTTTAATTTTTTAATACCAAAAAAAGATGGTCATTTTTACTGTTTATTTTTTATTTTTTTTAAATTGGTTCAGCATAGTAGTTCTTTTTGTAAGTTATTATATGATTGAAACTTTGATTGTCTAATGATTTTTTTTAATTTTGTTGGAGATGAAGTTATTCTTGACAGTTTATAAAATTTTTATTAAATAATTTTTCTCTTGGTCAAAAATAATTAAAATTTTAAAAAAAAATTTGTATTACATATTAAAATGTCATCTTTAATTAGATGAAAAATAAACATTTGTTACAAAAAAATAAAAGAACATTGCAAGAAGTTAAGGCAATAGGCAAAGAGCATTGCGAAATATAATAACAGCTATGATGATGTACATTGCAAAAACATAACAACAACGTGATTTGAGACCTTTTGAAACATGGATTGCATGTTGCCATATCTTTCTACTCTACGACAACATTAGAACCTATAACATATGAGTGAGTGTTGTGAAAGACCTAATGATACATTTTTTGTCCGTTGTAAAAAATAGTTTTCCTTGTAACAATTTTTTCCTCTATCTATAGAAATTTTAGCAACACATATTCCTTGTCGCAAAAAGTGGACCCTATTGCGTCACAAACACTTTGTTGCAAAAATAAAAGTTTGTCGCCATAAATTTCCCACCAAAAATACTTTTGGCATTTTGCTTCTCTCTTGTTTTTGGTGACAATCTTTATTATTTGTCGCATCTTCTCACATTTCACGACAACTTTTAATGTCGCCTTATATTTTTTGGTACTTATTTTTTTCATATCAATCTTTGCGACAAACTTAAAAAAATGTCGCGCTAAATCACTTATTGGAACTTAGTAAAGGATCTTGGAATCGACACATTCCAATCTCGTGTTCCGAATCTTAAATATAATTGTTGATAGTGCTTTTGTGAAAAAGTCAATCATATTGTCACTTGAACGAATTTGTTAAACATCAATATCATAATTATTCAGAAACTCACGTGTATAGAAGAAATTTGAAGAAAAATGCTTTATCTTGTCCTATTTGATATAGTCTTTTTGAGTTGTGTAATACAATCTGAATTATCTTTATACATTATTGTTGGTCTTTTTTTTTTTTGTTAAAGTTAATTCATGTGATACTTGAATATGATGAGTCATGTTCCTCAACCATCCAAATTCTCAATTTCATGGATTGCAATAATTTCATAATGATTTGAAAATGTTACAAATGTTTGTTTCAAGGACCTCCAAGATATAATTGTTTGACCATGCGTAAATACGTATCTTGTTTAAGATTTAGTTTTATGTGGATATCAAAGAGATAACTTGCATCCGCGTATACCATTAAAAAAGATACTAATTTTTGAGAATAAAATAATTACAAAATCAATAGTACCTTTTAGATAACAAAAAATGTACTTATCGCCATTTCATTATCTTTGAATTGGAATCTTGCAAGGAAATTTACAAAAAATATCATGATAGGTCGAGAATGATTTACAAGATACGTTAATGCTCTAATTGTACCAAGATATGGTACTTTAGGACCAGTGACCTTTTCTCCATCTTCAATGTGAAGACATTGATCTGTTTTCACATCAAGTGATGGAATAATTATATATGATGTCAATGGTTGTGCTCTATTTATATAAAAGCGTTTTAATTTTTAATTTTTAATATTTTTTTGTATATGAATATTGATAAACAAATAATCATTATTGATTTTTTCCTTGCTTTTCCCAAAATTTTTTATTTCAAGTTCATTTTTCAAATAATTTATGGTTTTGTTGAGTTCTTCAAGAATTCTAGTAAGAATTAAATTATTAACATAAATTGCTACTATTGTAAATTCAGTATTTCTTTCTTTATGAAAACACACGAATAGACGTCGTCACTTTTATTCGTCTCTTCAATAAAAATTTGTTAAAGCTATTATAGCTTGCATTTGAATTGTTTCAATCTGTATAAAGACATTTGTAATTTGCTTGAGAACAGATTTTTAGCACATTATCATTTGTTTTTGACAATTTAAGTTCTTTAGGTATATATTTAGTTATTACATCCATAAGGCCCATGTTGAGCATTTGTAGCACAATCAAACTAATTAAAAAATTAGAAGTGACAAGATTCCATTACAGGTGAATATATTTCTTCATGAGAAACATTGCTCTATAAGTCGGGATCACAAAAATATTATTGTTTTCTTCATATCTTGTAATTTCGTTGTTTTCATTTCTCTTCCTACAAAAATTCACTTGTATCCTTTATGGATTATACTTTCAGGGGTTCGAGCTACACATTAAAATACTTTTCATTTCTCTAAAGAAATTAACTCTGCTTGTATGATTTATTTCCATTTGACCAATTATTTATATGTTGACAGACTTTAAGATGCTGTAATTCATAATAATCATTTTTCATAATTTCAAAAGCCACGTTAAAGATGAAATTGTTATCTATAATAATATTATTTTGTTCTGATAATTTATGAGATAACAAATAATTTATTGAAATCTCATTATTTTCGAACATTTGTAAAATATTTTATTGATCAATCTTTTCAAATGTTATTTTTTTGAGGTTTTTGGTTGATTTTCTTTTGTACTTTTCTCCTTCGAGGTACAGTATCTTTGACCAACTAGTTTATCAAGTTTCTAACGTATTTGAGATTCATTTGCTACAATATATTGTCATGTAAGAACATCAATTTTTGTTATAATATTTACTGTTGTATATATGACTTGTTCACTCTCCTTATGTCAACAAATTCATTAGTAATTGATTTGCAATTTTTTGTGAGTTGATGATTTCTTCAACCTCTTTCCAACAATGATTGTTGTAGGCATCAAAGTGAGATAAAATTGTTTCAATTCAAGAAATTTTATCTTAATTTTTTGGGATGCATTTTTACCCCTCCCAAAGTTGGAAAATTCAGTTTATCAAAATGACAATATGAAAATCGTGCAATTAATAAATCACTTATTAAAGATTCTAGATAGTTAGTAATGGATGGTGAATCAAAACCAACATAAATTTTAATTTTTCGTTGGAGATTCATTTTGGCACGTTGTGGGGGTAAAATTGAAACTTGAAAAGCACAATTGAGTACTCGTAGGTGAGAAATACTACATTTGTTTCCCAATGTAAGTTGTAAAGGTATGTATTGATAATAATTAGTTGCTTTATATGAGCCAATGATACATAATATAATATGGAATGACTCCAAATAGAAGCTGGAGGTTGTATAGCAATAAATTGTAGATGTTTGATAAATGACTCTGTCAAAAGAGTTTGCTGAAACACCCAAAAACTAGTTACCTAGATTTTGAAGTATTATCATTAAATTCTTTTAAAATTAGAAATGTAGAAAATTGTTTAGATTTTTCTTTAACACAATAAATATTAATGACGTTCATTTACCCAAAAAAATCCAAGAGACTTTTGTACTTAATAAAAACAATTAAATTAAATGTTAATTTTATTTCAAAACGAAGTCAATATTTGTATATGTTAGTACTAAGTTTATTTCATCACAAGTAGTCTCTCGATTATCTTTCTTTTAATTTTTGCAAAGTGAAGAGAGATAACGTGGAATGAACTAACACTAGTAAGTAAACCCTTCTATGTGATGCATGCTTATGAAAAGTGTATGTATTACTTTAAAATAAATACAATTTTCCAATATATACCCCTTTTATTTCATTTTTTTCAAACAAACATTAGTATTCTGAGCTTATTTTAGTGTATCGCCTAGCCAATTAGAAATAATGGACCATTATCATTTGGAACTTGATTCAATCTATTGATAGTATTGCCAGCTAACATTAAACATTCAACACTGATGGGTGCGCCGACCTTCCACGCCCCATTTTTTATTCAAACTTTTCATGGCATAAATATACATTTCTTTAAAAATATTCGGGATACATATATTTTTAGAAATATTTTTTGCCACATTAATGTTCAGAAACTTTTTATTTCTCAAATTTCATGCACGCTCATGAATTCAATGACATGTACGAATAGATCATGAGAATCATATGCTCACATAATAGTTATTTAGATTAACAAATTTAAACATTTAACAATGTTACATACACATGAAGACATATGAAGGTTTACTTAGCCCTTGTTTTGTCTCAACGATTTCTAAAATATATTTTTCACTCTCTTATTTTCCACTACACATTTTTCAATAAAATAATGTCACACACAAATCCAAATCCAAATCCAAATCCAAAACATTTTCTTATTTTTTAACCACACATTCTCCATTAAAATACTATTTCAAAATGCATTATTTTCAAAAATGAAAGGGGGCAAAAAAAAAAAAAAAAAAAAAAAAAAAAAAAAAAAAGGGCTCAAACATGTTCCTAATTTGAATCCTTGCAAGTATTCGATTTGTTGTGAGCAGAGTAATCCATTGATTGCTCATGACCTAAGTGCCTGAAAATCTTTAACATAAGTTACATAAAAATCCTACGTATATTAAAATCAACTACTTACTACATGGGTAATGGCACTAACTAATTTTAAATATATTATAGGTATAAAAATTAGCACAGAGCTTCTTATTATAATTATTTATTTTTATTGCATTTTATTATTTCTAATTCTATTATGTATAAGAAAACTAAAAAAATTCATATACAATAGAAAATTCATTAACAGCAATATTTAAATTCATATGTAAACATATAAATCCCGCGCCGAAATAAAATCTTGCCAATAACATTTAAGTCCTAAGAAAACTAAAAATATCAGTTTTGACATACTCTTTTTTTATTTATTTTTCATTTTTTTTGTGACTGAATATATATAATGGGACGTTAAAATATATTTAAATTTAAAAGAATGCTCTTAAGACGTATAAAAATTAATCACAACAAATAAAAACACAAAATTCTTTTCTTTAGTTATCTTTAAATCAGTTTCATAGAAAATCCTATTTCTAGGTATAATCAACATGTAGAAGCCAATTAATATATAAGCATAGTATGTAATACAATTATTAGAAATAAAAACTTTTAAACAATATGATAAACGAATATAAATAAGTTAAAACTGTAACTTTAAATTGAAAAAGGCATTTTTGAGCTTTAAACCACGAAACCAAAATTTTCTCAATTTCTTGAAAATAGTTCTCTTTCTTTATTTTAGTTAATAACAACTAGTGTTGAACAGAATACATATAATGAGAAAAGGGTACGAAGATGAGAAAGGAAGAAGAACTAAGTGCAAAACGATATTCGGAGATATATGTTCATTTTTAAAAGAAAAATAACTAAAATCCTATGGTAGTCAAAGGATTTATAATGATTAAGCAATAATAAGGGCCATTGTTCCACTATTTCCAAAATGGCTAAAAAATGCATGATGAACTTTGAGGTCAAAGAAATCATAAATTCTGCGTCATTAATCTAGGAAAAGAAGGTATAAACATTTCGAAAATAATTAAAACAAATAAAATTCCATTAATATTAACATAGAATGAAAGTAAAACATTTTCAAATCTTTACGTAAACTTTTCTCTTAAGAAATAAAATTATTAATAAATCGAGCAATAATATAATTAAAAGATATAAATTAACTTTTCCCAATTAACACAAGTGCATAATTCAACCTTTAGAAATGTAAATAATCACGAAAGTCACTACTAATACTAAAATTACATTAGCTAATCCTTAAATTTTTACAAACTTCTTACCTTTTGGATTATTATTTATTTAATCATGGAGAATACTAATAGAAAACAAAGTAATTTGTCGCCATTTCTCAATTTAGGGAACTACAAGTGACAATAATATATTATTTGAATTAAAAACATATGCATGCATTATAATTAAAATGTTATAACTATTCACTGGAATTCATCGTAGCATCTTTTAATCATCCATTGCAATAATCATTAGCTTATAATAAAGTTTATAATTAATGGATGTATATAAATACTAATAAACTATTGAAGAATGGATAAATGAAATCCATTATATGAAACATTAGGTAATGTAGCTTCATGGGTGCGAACAACAGAGTGTCCGATCACAATTCCAACTAACATTACAATACTCATTGAATGTTTGTAATTTAAATTCATCAGCATTATCCAGACGAATTGTCTTGATTGAGTAATCAAAATATCGAGCTTGTAAATTTTTTATTTGAAAAAGTAATTTAACAATAACTATATTTCTAGTGATAAGTAAGTAGATATGAGACTAATTAGTAGAAGAATCAATTAAAATAAAAAAAGAACAAAATGATGCATTTGTTCAGGTTATTGATCTACATATATTTTCATAAATTATTTCTAGAGAAGTTGGAGGTTCCATATTAACCTTTATAGTGAAATATCTACTAACTAACTTGCCTTATGAACAGAAAACACATGGATACTGATTAGATAAAAGAGTCTTTCTGATTCTTTAGGGGATAAGCATGTGAGTTATTAATCATCTGATGCATTATTATTGCTTATGGATGTCCATATAGATCATGACTGTATAAAAACTTTTTGGATCAATAAACTTTGAGTTCGGCATAATTTGTGGTTCAATCATTTCTATGGACATATAATATATGATAGATGTGATTGCAAGGAGATTCTATTTTATTTACCTCCGGCCAGACCCAGATACAACCGAAAAAAAAGAAAAAAGAAAAAAAAAAAAAGAGGTTGTGAAAAAATATCAATTATTATTTTCTTGAATCATCTTAATGTAATATACATTGTATTGGATATAATTTCTCAATTGTTTCAATCTCAAACCCTAGCTTTGCTTTATTAAAGAAATTAATTTTCAGTAACGGAGAGCCAAATTTCAGTCTTCAATAATCAATAAAATAATAAGGAAAGGTTAATTCCTATTCATCTAAATGTTAACTTATTTTCATCTCATTAGAGGATATGTTTATTTTGTTAGGAAATGATAGAATTGATAATGTTTCAATTTCATGTTGATCCTGCTGTATGCAGATTGAGTTAGTAGTATTTGAATTACTTGTATGTTTTTCTGTTCGTTCTTCTTGTATGGGAACATCTTTAATTAACTATTCATGGAGTAGCTAATTGTTAAAGAAACAGGCAGTAGCTATTGAGGTTAATTTTTGAATGTTTTGTTAATTTGCATTCTAAGCATTTGATTATTGAGTTAATTGACCATTTTTTGTTTTTCTAGAAATGCTTTCTTCGGTTTTCTTCTTTGTTGCATGCTACTCTCTTAACCATCTATTCTAAAGACTTAAGTTGTGAGGGGGTCACACATGTGAACAAGAAATTTTTTTTATTTTTTATTTTTTATCAAGGGCTGGACGTGTTTAATTTTTCTTAAATATGTGGTGGTGAGATTTGATCTCAAATTCTGTTGGAAATTGGTATAGAAAATTGGTTTCGACTGATTATTTAGTGAAAATCGTTAGTTGATGAATGAAAAATTAAGGGTGTGTTTGACTGCATTTATTTTCCATAGAAATTATCAGTTTTTCACCCAAAGTTCTATTTTTTGGAGTGTTTGATTCTATTTGTTTCATTAAAAATATTTTCCAACTTTTGAAAATATGTCTAATTTTCCTTTTTTTCAAGAAAAATATTTTCTTTTGGGAGAGTAAGTTTTTGTTTTAAACAAGGAAAACATTTTCATTTCTAGGTGATATTTTTCTTACCACTCAAGCACACTCTGAAGGCAAATTTAAGCAACTAAAATGCTTGAAAATTATTGGAAAATTATGTAAAATTTTATGAAATGTTCTAGAACATAATTGGATGTAAAGTTATGTCTTTTCATTGTAGAGGCAATTTTCCAACATGACATATCTTTTTGGGGATGTCTTTTCATTGAGTTGTGCCTTTTGAGACACAACTTTTGGATCATTATATATAGACCCCGATTTTTGAAATTTTAATTCAAATAATTTATCATTGCATTAAAATATTGATGCATATTCACTTCAAATAATTTCTGCTTTTATTTTGAGTTGATTTTCCATAAAGAGAGAGTTCAAAGTATGAGTAGGTTCATCGATTTACAAAATTTGAAGTTCTCCTATTGCGGAACGTGGCCATTGTATTTTGGAAGGCGAATACCGAAAAATCCTTAGCACCAGTAGTATTCTGTTTGATTGTGAGAATGAAATTTGGGTGGAAAGAAAACGAATTGTAGGGAATTGAATTGCTTAGAACTTGTTTTAGTAGGAATTATCAATTAACAGTTTTTGAATGATATAATTTTCTACCTGAAAAATGTTGAAAAAAGTATTTTTGGTTTTCGTTTGGCTTTATTTTTTATAAAAATTATCAATTTAAGGGATATCCTCTTTTACAATTGTTCTTAAAATTTGTTTTTATTGCAAAAAAAAAAAAAAATCTATCTTTTGGTATTCGACTATTCGTTTGACTTTATTTTATATAAAATTTGTCAATTTAAGGAATATCATTTTTTAAAATTGTTCCTAGAATTTATTTCCATTGCCTTAAAAAAAAAATCCAAGAAAAAAAAAATCATCTATCTTTTGGTGTTCGTTTGACTTTATTTTACATGGACATTGTCAATTTAAGTGATATCTTCATTTATAATTATTCCTAGAATTTGTTTCCATTTCTTGAAAAAAAACAAAAAAAGAAAAAGAAAAAGAAAAAGAAAAAGAAAAAGAAAAAGAAAAAGAAAAAGAAAAAAAAGATGGAAATCAAGAAACCACCAAAGTGATAGGAAAACTAAGAAATGGTAACCGTGTGGAGGCAAAGCAAGAATTCCAATTTCCAAGAAAATTTTTGCTATCAAACAAGCAAAAAGTGGAAGATGGAATTCCTTTTCTATTTCCATGGAAAAAAAAAATGGTGTATCAAATATAGCCTTATTGTTTTTGAGGAGAAAGCGTTAAAACTTTTGAATTCATATTCATGCATTTCTCATTTTTACTTTACATATTTGGTTTTGGTAAGTCAAAATTTTGTTCAATTTTATGCACGTAATGTTAACTATCGAAATATAATTTATGCACAATACATTTTTGCAACAATTTCTTTGCTCGACTGTTGTATCATGTTGAACTATCATCTAGCTAAACAATCAAGATGAAGTCACTTAAATCTCGTCTTCAACAATTACATCTTAATTTTCACGATTATTGTCTTTGAGAATAGCTACAACAACAATAACTTAGCATTAACAAACTAATCTGTATCCGGAATAAAGTTGGCAATATGAAAAAATTTCATTTTGCTTCCGTAACTAGATATTTTATGATTCCTAATGCCACATAAATTGTTTTACTTGTTTCTTAAGCTTATCCTTTGTGACACTGCTGACTCCATTTAGTGGATGTATAATGCATGGATTCTTAAAAATGTTTAAGAAAATCATTTAGTTGTGTGGATGCAAATATTGTTGAAAAACACATAATTGAAATTCAAAATATTTCCTATTAATAGCTCTAGGAAACAATACTACTACAATCAAAGAACTAGTCAGGATCATCAATAGATTGTGCCCTGTGCAGTAAACGTTACAGTCTTGTGTGACCTGGTTGCATGTTAACCAAGGAAACAAATGGAACAAGAAAAATAAAGACTAGTCCCCAATGTGGGGAAGTAACCATAAAACTCATATGTTATGACCAGACTAATATTGATTCTTCTTCCGAATCGTTGAATTTTGTCTAAGATGCCCTCTTGTTGATGCTATTAACAGAGGGGAAGATCTGCAGGAGGTGGCTCTAATGTTTGCAGTTCTCCAACTCCATTTTCCACCAAGAAAGCCATTGCCAAACCCCAGGTAATGTGAACATCCAAGTGACAGTGCATCAGCCAGATTCCTGTTTATATTCAATATGTATTTAAACCATCAATTTGACAAACATGAGAAAAATGACATAAAAGAGAGAATTTGCATATGATTAAAGGTCAGTTCTCACACCTGGATTATCGGCGACAAATCTGATCACTGTCCATCCACCAACAGGTACACTAGCTGTATTTCGCTGTGGTGGATTAACAAGATTGAATTTGGCTGTGTCTCTTTTTGGATTGAAATTTCCAAATCCTTCAGCAACGATATAGAAGTCATATCCATGAAGATGAATAGGATGGTTCTCAGCTGTGAAGATACTTGTTCCCTGCAACACTATCTGTACTCTTGCTCCATACTTTAGTCTGTACACCTTAGTCCCACGGGCAGGTTGCCACAGTGACCGGCTTACATTACCGGTATAATCAAATTTCCTAGGTGGATTTGCTGGAAAATCAGTTGTGAATATTCCAGGTATATGTTGTTGATGTGCCTGCAGCAGGGAAAAGTTGGATGGAAGCACAAAAGATACATTGTTCATGCTGGCAGTGAATCGAGTCCCATTTGGTCCTTGACAATTTCTGCGTCTGGCACCACGGGGGCAATTATTGAGTCCTAAACCAACTGTAATGAAGATATTCTCATCAATTTCTTTGGGTACTTCGACTTTTCTCGGGCTTCTCAAGCTTTTTGTGAAGGCAGTTGCAGTGGCAGTGTCGTTAAATGCAGGTAGAGATGGCATAACTGGCTTGGTCGAGGTGCATTTTGCTAGGCAAGGGGCAGTTTCGTATTCAAGTATGGCTGTGGTGGTGGTATTATCAAATGGTGCACCTTGAGCACTAGCATAGGCACGTGCTGCAATGTAGTACTTGGTTGGTGGCTGATTAGCAGTGATCAGGACATCGGTTGTCTGGCCCGGTCCGAGCATCAGAACCGAGGTGGTGAAGGGTTTGACGTAAGAAGCATCGGCCCCAACTACCGTGAGCTTGTGGTTGGCTATTTTGAAGAAAAGTTGCTGATTGAGTGCTGAGTTAATGACTCTAAGGAGATTTGTTTGGCCGGTTTTCACGGTAACTACGATTGTATCTGCATCATAATATGATCAAACATTATAGATACTCGCAATTTTCTTGTGATTGGTTTATTTCCAAACCTGACAAATTCAAGGGATAATTTGAAATAGAAAATATTTGTTCAGTATCAACAAACCTTTTTTGGAGCAGTTATAAAGATCACCAGGTTGACCATTGATGGTGTAAGCATTGGACACATTTGGTGCAGCTCCTGTTCTTGTGGCTTGCCTCACAACATCAATTGGGTTCGCATCCCACCACTCACCTGATCACCATCACAACCAATGTCATCCCGAATTCAAGTAAATGAATAAATTCCGACCACTTGTTGGTGTAGGCACTAACCGTGAGTAATAACATTACTAACGATATATAAAATATACATACCAAGAAGAAGAGGGGTTTCATGCTTTGGCTTGGGGAAGGGATAGGACTCTCCGGGGCGTGGGCGAATAATCAAGGCCCCATAGACGGTGGCTCTAAGCCATGAGCTATGGGCATGCCACCAAAGTGTTCCTTCTTGTCCTTGAATTGTAAATCTGTAAGTATAACTGTGTCCTGGTCTAATAGGACATTGAGTCACAAATTCTGGCCCGTCAGCCCATCCGGTTCTCAATTGTCGCACCCCATGCCTGTGGGTTAGTCAAACAAAAATGAATAATGGGTTAGTCTATCCTTTAGTGTGTGTGTGTGTATATAGACACATGCATGCATGCAATTATACCAGTGAATGGTGACATTGTATCGAGCTCTATTAACGACTTTGACCACTAGAGTGTCACCATTGTTCACTTCCAATGTTGGTCCAGGGTACATTCCATTGACTGTAATAGTGTTATGGGTTTTGCACAATCTCTTCACCGGTGTTGCTTGAATCTGTAGTTTCAAATTATATTAATGATATTAATATCCAATAATTTCAAACTAATTCGAATCGAGCAAAATACCAAGAAAAAATATTGAAAAGTGAGATGAAAAACATACAATAAAACCATGATAATGAGTTTTTGCACTTGTTTTTGGCATTGAGCTCGCTACGTGCAACAACATGCATAAAAACAAGAAAGTGCAGAAGGGATTCATAATATTTCTCAAGGCCCCCATTTCTCTTTAGAATGAGGTAACAGTAAGAAGCGGAAATGAATGCTGAATTGGTTGTGGAAGAATAAGAGACGGAGGAATTCATTTTATACACAAGAATTTTATAGAGAGAGAGAGAGAGAGAGAGAGAGAGAGAGAGAGAGAGAGAGAGAGAGGGGTGGTTCTTGATTAGGTTTAGGGGGATACTTAGTTCAACCCTAAATGAGTTGGTGCACCCACCGGCCTATCAATTTACTGAACAATTTGATTTGCACTTGCTTGACAAGCCTTCTTTCTGATGTGGTATATTCTTCAACTTTGACTTAGTTTTTAAAGCTATTATCATTAGTTTGTTAATAACTACACGACTTTATCTTATTAAGACCCTATTTGATACCAATTTTTTTCAAAATGCATTTTTCCCTTTTATTTTAATCACACATTCTTTATTAAAATAATATTATACGTAAATCAAAAAAATTTCTTTCTTTTTTAATCATGCATTTTCCATCAATTTACTATTTTAAAATATATTTTTATAAGAAAATGGATACCAAACACCCTATAAAATTGTGCCTCATGCATTAGCATACCCATGTTCATTTTTAAAAATTTTAATTATAAGAAAGTAGTTGAACTTCAAATAAATATATTTTGATTTAACCATCTCTTTGCTTGCTTTGAAGATACTAACTAATCACATAATATCTCTAATTTATTGTATATTGTCTTGTGCTAAATTATGTACTTACATTAAGGACAAAAAAAGAAAAAAAAAAAAAAGAAAAAAGAAGAAGAAGAATTAGCAATAAATTATGTCCTTTGTAAAACTCGTCTTTTGATATTCAGCTCTATTCATATCCCTAATTAAAATTTATATTTTTAGTCCTATTTAATAATGTGTACCTACGTAATACTAAAAGAGAAAATATAAAGAAGCATTATCAATAGAAGTATGAAAATGATGAAACAATAATTTACTTTCTTATCATATTAAAAGTATGAAAATGATGAAACAATAATTTACTTTTTGAAAAAAGCAAAGGACGTTTTCATTCACAAAAGAAAAAAAATTATCTACGCTATTCCTATCACAAATTCCAGTAGAATAAAATCAGTAAAAATCAACTTTTGTTGGCCAATAAAATTACCAAATTAATTAATAAACTCAAATTATAATAGACATTATATAATATCTATTTTAATTAATAATTCTATATAAAATGATATACCTACAAATAAATAATATTTGTAAGCAGTCCAAATTCAACATACATCATGGAACGAAGCAGCATAATTTAGGTTAAATGGCGACTTACCAGTTAGATGATGTCTGATGAATTGATGATAAGACATAATTAGTTAGAGAAAGTCTTGTATGATTATTAATTGATTAATTTATTAGGTAAAAAAAGTATTTAATTATTTTCCTGGAATTTTTATTTGGTCTTGCAGCAGCAATTCAGTTAGTGGGAACTACCAGGACAAGGACAAGATAATTTGTTAATAACTGAATTAGGTGGGCTGTCTTGGACGAACTATGCCAACATTTTCAACATTTTTCTCTCTCTAGAACTGTATCACGATTCCATGAAAGATATGATTTAATTATCACCTTCACCAATTTTTTAAATATTATACAGTTACAAGGTTTTGACAGAAAAAATTAATGAATCCAACTTACACATGAAGGGATGCAATGGAGATAAGTTTTAAATGAGTGAGTAAAGTTCAAGTGTAATGGTCATGGGAAGTGGCAACCATTCTCAAGAACCAAAAAGAGGAAGCCATTGAAATTTTCAAAATTTAAATCAGATGATTAACATTATATAAAAAAATTATTACAATTTTACCTTTTCATTTTCATGCTATTGTATGCAAAGATTCATTAGTGTTAAGGTGAATCACTAAGATTTAAAAGGATCTTACAGTAAAAATAAACTTGCGGAAAACGAAAAATTGAATATGAAGATATGTTTCACCCTAAAAGGGCCCCTATTCAATCTTGCGACCTAATCACCCGTTGAACATCACCAAAGGTGATATAGCTTAAGATCCACTAAATATTAACCAAGAACAGTACAGTATGTACGAAGAAACCAAAGGTTTCTTCGAGTTTCCTTTTGACTCTTTACAAACAGCAACCAAAACCCTCTCAATCACTAATCAACTATACAAAACAATCAGAGACTATCACTAAGTATACAGATTGAGATAGCACCAAGAATATTTTAGATTTACAGTAAAGAGAAAAAAAACCTTAATCTTTCACTTAGAGAGAAAAAGAGAGAAACAGGCGAAAGGGCAAAAGGCATCGAATCGTCCAGAATGAGGGCCGAAACCAAGTTAAGTATCTGACCAGCCAAATGTCATAATCCAAGGGTTAGGATGCAGCCACGTGGACGGTTGATCTTTACCCATTAAAGAGGCAAACACGTTTTCTCCAAAAAACATGATTTCATAAACCGAAAATAATCATAATAGTCCATGTCCTTGCTTAAGTCCATCTGGGCCAAAAAGAAATAGTGAGTCAGCCCACATTAGGCCTGAGAATTTTAACCGAAAATGAATCTCCCGAACCGAAACCCAACCGGAATCGGAGGTTCCGGTCTGGTTCCCTAAAAAAATAAATTAGGAACCGATATATGTAACAAAAGGGTCTTTATGAAATTTATTAAATAAATGTATATAAAAATGCTCTGGGTAGAATAGAAATCGAATCGAAACCGACGGTTTGGGTTTGGATCCATTATTTACAAAGACCTGAATGATTCCATTTGCGAAATACCCAAAACACAATGGGTGGTTTTGGATAATGAAATACCCGGACTAACCCACCCGATGCCCAGGCCTAGCCCACATATTATAACAATCTCCACCTTGCTTAACTATTTCTTGATCTTTACTTGTGGATCTAGAGGACTATATCACTTTTGGTTCATTTGCTCTTAATACCTGCAAAAAAGAAAAAAATTATTAGTTCAAATCTTTTCAACACAAAACACTTGAAGTTCTGATTATTACTACCACAAGTAATATTCAGAATTTTCAAGCAATTTAGGAATTCTTTCGAAGGTAATACCTTAATTCCTAAGCCTGTAGGATTAAATTCTATAGGAACTTTAACCAAACTAATCAGGCATTTTTCTGCCATATTTCTCACAAAGTGAAACTTTATGTCTATATGTTTAGTTCTGTCATGGTAGACAGGATTTTTACTCAAATGTATGGCACTTTGGTTATCTATATAAATCCTAACATAATTATTCTCAAAACCTATTTCATTTAGTAAACCTCTAAGCCAGACACTTTCTTTCACATCATCACATGTAGCAATGTATTTAGCTTCAATAGAGGATAATGCAACTAATTTTTGTAATTGTGACTTCCAACTAATGAAGCCATTACACAAATTGAAAATATGAAGATGTAGACCTTTTTTTTGTCTACATCACCAGCAAAATCAGAATCAGAGTAACCCTTTAATTTTACCCTTCATTGCTTCTTTTAAACATCAAACCTAATCCATAAGTACCTTTTAAATATCTTAGCATCCATTTCATGGCTAACTAGTGCGTTTAACCAGGGTTGGACATAAACCTACTTAAGGTACTAATACGATGAGCTAAGTTAGGCCTGTACACACCATAAGGTACATAATAGATCCTACAACATTTGCATAAGGTATCTTTTCCATTCTTATGTATTCATCATTTGTTTTTGGTGAGTTTTCACTAGATAACTTAAAGTGATTAGCAATAGGTAAGGTCACAGGTTTACACTCAAGCATAGAAAACTTTTCAAGTATGTTCTTTACATAAGAGTCTTGTTTCAACATTAACATGCAATTATTCCTATCTATTTCTATTTCCATTCCAAGAATCATTTTTTGCTTGTCCTAGATCTTTCATTTCAAATTCAGATTTTAATTTTGACTTAATGAAATTAATTTCAGATCTATCATGGCAAGCAAACAACATGTCATCAACATATAATAACAAGAAAATGGAATCAGGTCCACTTGAACCTTTATAGAAAAAAAGGAATCACAATTGCTTTTAACAAAACTTAAGGTCTGCACATAAGAATTAACTTTGATATACCATTGCCTGGGGGTTTGTTTCAGCCCATAAATTGACTTTTTCAGCAAACAAACCTTATTAACCTTTATCTTTACTTCACATCCCAAAGGTTGGTTCATGTATCAGGTTTCATCAAGATCACCATTAAAGAATGCTATTTTTACATCAAGTTGATCTAACTCCTAATTGAAATGAGCAGTTAAAGCCAACAATATTCTTATTGAGTGTATTTTGCCAATGGTGAGAAAATTTAACTGTAATCCACCCCCTCTTTTTGAGTAAATCCCTTGCCACTAATCTAACCTTATATATTTTATCTTGTGCATTTGAATCTCCTTATTTGATTTTGAAGATCCATTTGCAATCAATTATCTTTTGGTTCTTAGGTTTGGCAACCAAAACCCAGGTTTTATTTTTTTATGAGAGAGTCCATTCTTCATTCATAGTGTCTTTCCAGAACTTAGAATCTAGGGTTTTTATAATTTCATCAAATGTAGAAGGTTCAGAATTTAATGAGTCCAGGGCAGAGAAAAATGTGACAAATTCTTCATTATTAAATTTGGTAGGAGGCCTTATATTTTTCCTCTCTCTATTCCTAGTCAACTGATA